TGCAGGTAACAGAGGAACGAGGCAGCATACAGAAATGATACTTAGTGCTCTGGATAGAGATAAGCACACACTATAGGAGAATATGCTTTGTTCATATTTAGACGCTGAGTGCACACAAATATGCAGCCTCTTGGCGTCTGGGCCTTGATGCTGAGCAGCCGCATATTTGCGTACCATTTGAAAATACATATGTGCTGAGAACATGCACCCTGCTCACTCCCAGCACATATGTCCGTGACTCACTGAAAAGTCCCAATCACCCCTTGCGAACGGGACATTTTCCGATCATGTGACCGCCGTGACAGCGAATTACGGCGGTCACATGATCCTAAAACCCCGCTCTGCCTCCTGGCTTCTAAAACCTCTTAAAGGGCCGGGAGGCGCCAGTGCAAAGGGGTTAATATATGCGATTTACAACCACTCTAACTAAACATAGGGGTCATAACAAATTGGCCTGACTGGCAGGCAACTAGCATTTTCAGGACAGGTCTGCAATGGCAGCCTGCATATTTCAATCAGTGCATGTTCCCTTGAGACAATGATGAAATATTTGCAAGTGATCTTTAGTTAGTACATAGTTTAGAACAAGAATATTCATATAGACCGGTCTTTATAAGTGCCAGAAAGCAACATTGAACAAGTTAAAAACATACTTTTTATTCTCTCTTCCCTTAGTGATCTGAGTAGCAATCGGTGCTGGGATTCAGAGATGGTCTCCACTGGGAAATGCTGTGCTAAAGAACAGATGTAGGTACACTTACCTTTATGGACTATTTTACTGTTTTGTGTGTGTGTGTATATATATATATATATATATATATATATATATTTATATATACACGGGTGAAACTCGAAAAATTAGACTATCGTGCAAAAGTTCATTTATTTCAGTAATGCAACTTAAAAAGGTGAAACTAATATATGAGATAGACTCATTACATGCAAAGCAAGATAGTTCAAGCCGTGATTTGTCATAATTGTTATGATTATGGCTTACAGCTCATGAAAACCCCAAATCCACAATCTCAGAAAATTAGAATATTGTGAAAAGGTGCAATATTCTCGGCTCAAAGTGTCCCACTGTAATCAGCTAATTAAGCCATAACACCTGCAAAGGGTTCCTGAGCCTTTAAATGGTCTCTCAGTCTGGTTCAGTAGGAATCACAATCATGGGAAAGACTGCTGACCTGACAGTTGTGCAGAAAACCATCATTGACACCCTCCATAAGGAGGGAAAGCCTCAAAAGGGAATTGCAAAAGAAGTTGGATGTTCCCAAAGTGCTGTATCAAAGCACATTAATAGAAATTTATGTGGAAGGGAAAAGTGTGGAAGAAAAAGGTGCACAAGCAGCAGGGATGACCACAGCCTAGAGAGGATTGTCAGGAAAAGGCCATTGAAAAGTGTTGGGGACTTTCACAAGGAGTAGACTGAGGCTGGAGTCAGTGCATCAAGAGCCACCACACACAGAAGGATCCTGGACATGGGCCTCAAATGTCGTCTTCTTCTTGTCAAGCCGCTCCTGAACAACAAACAATGCCAGAAGCGTCTTACCTGGGCTAAAGAAAAACAGACCTGGTCTGTTGCTCAGTGGTCCAAAGTACTCTTTTCTGATGAGAGCAACTTTTGCTTCTCATTTAGAAACCAAGGACCCAGAGTATGGAGGAAGAATGGAGAGGCACACACTGCAAGATGTTTGAAGTCCAGTGTGAAGTTTCCACACTCTGTGCTGATTTGGGGAGCCATGTCATCTGCTGGTGTTGGTCCACTGTGCTTCATTAAGTTCCAGGTCAACGCAGCCGTCTACCAGGAGATTTTGGAGCACTTCATGCTTCCTTCCACAGACGGGCTTTATGGGGATGCTGACTTAATTTTCCAGCAGGCCTTGGCACCTGCCCACACTGTCAAAAGCACCAAAACCTGGTTCAATGACCGTGGGATTACTGTGCTTGATTGGCCAGCAAATTCGCCTGACCTGAACCCCATAGAGAATCTATGGGGCATTGCCAAGAGAAAGATGAGAGACATGAGACCGAACAATGCAGAAGAGCTGAAGGCCGCTATTGAAGCATCCTAGTCTTCCATAACACCTCAGCAGTGCCACAGGCTGATAGCTTCCATGCCACGCCGCATTGAGGCAGTAATTGCTGCAAAAGGGGCCCAAACCAAGTACTGAGTACATATGCATGCTTATACTTTTCAGAGGTCATTGTTCTATGTACAATCCTTGTTTTATTGATTGCATGTAATATTCTATTTTTCTGAGATTGTGGATTTGGGATTTTCATGAGCTGTAAGTCATAATCATCACAATTATGACAAATCACGGCTTGAACTATCTTGCTTTGCATGTAATTAGTCTATCTCAAATATTAGTTTCACCTTTAAAGTTGCATTACTGAAATAAATGAGCTTTTGCACAATATTCTAATTTTTCAAGTTTCACGTGTGTTGTGTGTGTGTATGTGTATGTGTATATATATATATATATATATATATATATATATATATATACCAACCAGATACACATGTGTGTTGTAGATCGAGACATCTCGTGTCTGTCCCTGTGGTTCCCACCAGAGAAGGGGTTTTTTTTTAGCTATGGACTTGCAATATTCCCTACACAACTAGCTTTAATGTATATAATGTAAGTTTATTCTAATTTGTCTGTTTATGTGCATAGTTAGATATCTGAGATTGTATACTACCACGTTGTATGTCTCTTGTGTTTGCGCATGAAATATTCATCTTTGATGAGATCACAGATTACCTCTGCGTGACCTGATGAAGCTGATTGTAAAATGCGTCGGAATCACAACATCTTCACTCTGCATACTGGAGAAATGTTATGCAGTAATTGCTATGCTAGAGCGGTACTATGTAACAGGACTAGTATGTCCTGCGGTATCTAATCCATGTTAAGAAAATGGTTAAAAAAAAAAAGATTTAATACGGAGGGGATGGTTGACTTCAACTGTGCAATGTCATTGTCTCAAACATCTACATGTATGTAAACTTTGAATGTATTTCTCATTTACTAAATATAAGGTAAGCTTTTCCCTTATTGTTGTTTTTTGGCACTTCTAAAGTACCATCTATAGCAGTGATCTCCAAACTGCAGGTCCGGGGGCCAAATGTGGCCCTTTGCTTGCTTTTCTCTGGCCCTTGGGACACTCTTTAATCCACTGACACCATAGAAAGGCATAATTCTTCCTAATACATAAATGATGTGGCATAGTTCCTCCCAATGACACCAACAATGGGGCCCAACGACTCCAATGATGAGGCACAATACTTCCCAATGACACCAATGGTGAGGCACAATTCCTCTTACTGTCACACAATGATAGGGGATTGTTTATTGATGCTGGGATATTTTGCATTCCCGTTGGCCACAGTCCGCCCCCCCTAAAGAGGCAGAATTCCTAATAATGACATAAATGATGTGGCATAGTTCCTCCCAATGACACCAACAATGGGGCCCAATGACTCCAATGATGAGGCACAATACTTCCCAATGACACCAATGGTGAGGCACAATTCCTCCCACTGTCACTCAATGATAGGGGATTGTTTATTGATGCTGGGATATTTTGTACTCCTGTTGGCCACAGTCTGGCCCCCCTAAAGACTGAAGGACAGTAAACTGCCCCTTTGTTTAAAAAATTTGGAGACCCCTGATCTATAGGATTACCCTTATTCTATACTAACTAGGTATGTGGTGCCTTGATCACACAAACAAATCCAACAAATGTATGTATAGATTGCAGGGTTTTTGAAACTCTATGTGTTTTTTTTTTAATAATTTACATTTTTGCTGTATTTAAAGAGTATGTAAACCAAGCATTTCATATTTCTGATACGTGCCTGCTGTACCATGTACTTGTATGAATATGTATCCTGTTCTCTTTGTATTGCTTCCTTTGTGTGTGAATCCCTGGTGTTCTTTCCAGTCCCTCTGCGTTCTTATACAAAAAAACAAAACTGACCACACTAGGCATTTGAGCACAGCGCGGTCAGTTATTCAGCTGTGCTAGGAACTCAGTCTGCTCTCCTCCACTGATCAAACTTGTGCTGACACCCCCTCCCCCCAGCCATTCACTGGGAAGATCGGTGCACTGCTGTTTCTCTACCTTCACCTCTCTATGCAGGTGAGAACAGAGAGTTTGTGACCACCTGTAAAAAGGGGGGAAAAGGTATTTACCGTATTTTTCGTTCCATAAGGTGCACCTGACCATAAGACTCACCTAGGTTTTAGAGGAGAAAAACAAGAAAAAAAATATTTCTGAACCAATGGACTGCAGACATACTGCAGTACAGGAGATGACCAGAGACTGCGGACACAATACAGGAGATGACCAGAGACTGCGGACACGGCACAGGAGATGCCCAGAGACTGTGGACACGGTACAGGAGATGACCAGAGACTGCGGACATGGTACAGGGGATGACCAGAGACTGCGGACATGGTACAGGGGATGACCAGAGACTGCGGACACGGTACAGGAGATGACCAGAGACTGCGGACATGGTACAGGGGATGACCAGGGACTGCGGACACAGTACAGGAGATGACCAGAGACTGCAGACATAGTACAGGAGATGACCAGAGACTGCGTACATAGTACAGGAGATGACCAGAGACTGCGAACATAGTACAGGAGATGACCAGAGACTGCGAGACACAGTACAGAGATGACCAGAGACTGCAGACAGTACATGGAGATGACCAGAGACTGCAGACACAGTACAGGGGATGACCAGAGACTGCAGACAGTACAGGGGATGACCAGAGACTGCGGACATAGTACAGGGATGACCAAGAGACTGCAGACAGTACAGGGATGACCAAGAGACTGCAGACAGTACAGGGGATGACCAGAGACTGCAGACAGTACAGGGATGACCAAGAGACTGCAGACAGTACAGGGGATGATCAGAGACTGCAGACAGTACAGGGGATGACAAGAGACTGTGGACACAGTACAGGAGATGACCAGAGACTGCAGACACTACAGGGGATGACCAAGAGCCGGTAGACAGTACAGGGGATGACCATAGACTGCAGACAGTACAGGGGATGACCAAGAGCTGGTAGACAGTACAGGGGATGACCAGAGACTGCAGACAGTACAGGGGATGACCAGAGACTGCAGACAGTGCAGGGGATGACCAATAGACTGCCGACAGTACAGGAGATGACCAGACACTGTGGACCCTTTGGGGAGGGAGGGGGAGCGGGTACCTGAATTAGACAGGTATCCGCTCCCACTTCCATGGAGTTGTCGTCCCTTTAGTGTGGGAACCCGGCTGTGACAGCCGGGTGCCCACTGGGCATGCGTGAGAAGCGCTGCACTTTGTGAATGGCCCGGCATCTTCTGGGACACATGACAGGTCCCAGAAGACACCGGGCCATTCACAAAGAGCGGTGCTTATCGCGCATGCGCAGTGGGCACCCAGCTGTCACAGCAGGGTTTCCACACTAAAGATGCCAGTGCGGGAAGACTGTACAGCGCTGGACTAAGGAACAGGTGAGGTCCTGCTCCAGAGAAGAGCTGAGCGGCCTGCCCGGTATTCTGACACGGTGTAGGCGGCGGAAATATCGGACCAGCCGCTCCATATTTGCGCTCCATAAGACACACTGACATTTTCCCCCCTTTTTTGGGGAAAAAAAGTGCGTCTTATGGAGCATAAAATACGGTATAATGTTTTAATCTATATCTATACACAAATGTTTTACTTTTCATTTCTACTTTAAACTCAATGGGTTGTGTTATAAGGTGAGGGCTTACATACATTTTAAACTGGAACTTCACTCTCTCAGTCAACATTAACTATTTTTAATCCTTAATCCTTTTTACATTTCTTAAGTTACTTCCTGGTTTCCATGCCTAGGCAAATGATGTCATACATCCCAGGAGCCTTCAGGAGGGGAGGAATGTTCTTTTCAGCTAAGCACACCCTCCTTCCTGCATGCCTGAGTTAAGGGCAGATAGATTCCAGGAAGTAAACGTTACATGAATCATCTGCCCTTACTTAAGATGGCCATGGCCAGAAATGCTAGGGGTTGGTTTTCAAAGTGATTTCTCAGTAAAATAAAACAAGGAGACGTATGGATAGGTGAGCTTGCTTTGACTATTACAAATGATTTAAATAGCAGTTTTGACTTGTGCAGCTCAGATGCATGTAGTTCTGCTTTAAATACAAATATGTTTGCATGTGTTAGGAAGTATGGTTGTATTTTAAAAAAAATTGTTTTTTTTTAATGAGAAACCTTGTTGTATGTATACAATGACAAAGTATTATCTATCTTTATTTAACTAGATGTCATTTCTGATGTAACAAACATTTCACCTATTTCTAGTTACATCACTTAGCAGTTATACTAATATAATCTGAGCTGACCTGTCTATTCTAATAGGAGTAGTCAAGAGGAGCAATCAAGAACAGTCACGGTGTATCACAACCAAACCTGAGGCATCGTCTGCACAGCAATAAGAAACTATGGACTTCCTTATGTAAATATATAATTAAAAGATACTGTATAAACAGATCCGAGTTTTTTTACATCACAGTATTTACATTTAGCTGATGACATTACCTTCAAGAACGTAGGTCCTAGATGACTTTTAAAATTCATGCTGTCATTGGCAAGTCATTTTCAGCTCCTTCTTTCCCGGTACATCCTGCTCAGTCTATCCGATTTCCTGACTGCAGCCTGTATTAGTTAACAGCTTCCTCTTTAGCATAAATTTAAATAAAATCCATATTCAGTCAATCATACATTCTATACCCAGAGGTGCTTGTTCTTTGATAGAATCTGTCCCCGATGCCGAACAATGTCACTTCAGATAAGTCTTTACCAGCTTGGAGACATTTGAATTTGTTACACTGCATACCTCACTCCTTGTACATGTCAAAGTACCTTCATTTCAATTCAGCAAGATGAAGCACAATTTTGCCCTAGACACAGAATCATTCACTTTATTCTGCCAAATAGAATTAGGAATGATTCTGGAGGGCTTTTTTGGCATTATCAAAAGTTTCTGTCACACTCATGTTTTCCTGGATCTTGAGTTTTCTAGTTTAAAGCATGATAAATCAAGACTTACCGTACATAAGTTTAAATTTGTCTAATTAAAGGGCTTCTGATTTACCTGTAGAATTATATACATCACTCTAGAACCTGTTCATAATTAAATATAAAATTCCAAAAAATATAGGATACAGTTTTCCCCCCATTGAACCCTCCTTTATTTTTATTTTTCCTACTTTTTTGGGCGGGAGGCTTAAGTAAACCGTTGTCAATTTTGCCTTCATTCTAAATTAGTAAAACAATGACCAGTTTGTTAATGTAGCCCTCTTTTGAAGGGGTTATGAGAAATGGCCCTCCCCAAACAGGATAGTGTGCTAAACCTGTAGGTAAATAGAAGAACCAGAACCTCTGCAAAGTGGAAGAGTGGGTTCATAATACATTTGGCAGTGCCTCCTCCCAGGACAGGGCCTCTGTGAACAGAAGAGATTCCCTCCCTGGGAATTAAATCAGTAATCTAAGCAGAGTAATTGGGCACAAAGGAATTACTGCAACCAGCATATAGCATTAACCATAAGTATATAGATCCTCACCAGTACAGAAATAATGCAAGCTTTATATAAAAAGAAATTAATAACAGTTGTATATACAGTATATGCAATGTACTAACCAATTATATCAGAAAAGGGTCCAGTAAGAGTCCTGGTGGAATTATGCACATATACCCTGGTGTATATATAGCAGGTAAAATAAGTATTGAACACTTCACCATTTTTCTAAGTAAATATATTTCTGAAGGTGTTATTGACAAGACATTTTTACCACATGTCGGTAACAACCCTTGTGATCAATACATACAAAGAAACCAAAACAAATGTGTTCAGAAATTAAGTTCTGTGTAATAAAATGGAATGACACAGGGAAAAAGTATTGAGCACTTGAAGAAAGGGAAGTGCAAAAAGGGCATGGAAAGCCAAAACACCAGCTACAATCTATCAGCAATTAGAAAGCTATCTACTCTGCACTCTGCACTACTCAACTCTACTACTCTACTCCACTCCAATCTCTACTCTACTCTACTCTACTCTACTCTACTCCACTCCAATCTACTCCTACTACTCTACTCCACTCTACTCTACTCCACTCCAATTCTACTCCTACTACTCTACTCCACTCTACTCTACTCCACTCCATTCTACTCCTACTACTCCACTCAACTCTACTCTACTCCACTCCATTCTACTCCTACTACTATTCTCCACTCTACTCTACTCCACTCCATTCTACTCTACTCTACTTCACTCCACTTGCCCTCCTAAGGATTTACCCCCCTTCCTGACAAGGCCATTTTATGAGTTGCGGCACTGCGTTACTTTAACTGACAATTGCGCGATCATGCAACACTGCACCCAACTGAAATTTACATCCTTTTTTCCTATGAATTGAGCTTTCTTTTGGTGGTATTTGATCACCCGTGTGGTTTTTATTTTTTGTCCTATAAAAAAACAACAATTTTGAGAATAATACTTATGTTTTTAACTTTCTGCTATTAAACATGTCCATTAAAAAAATTTTAAAAATCAAATTTCGTCATAAATTTAGGCCAAAATGTATTCTGCTAAATTTCTTTGCTAAAAAAAATCCTAATACGTGTAAATTAATTGGTTTATATGAAAGTTATGGAGTTTACAAATAGCGGTATACATACTTTTTTTTTACTAGTAATGGCGGCGATCAGCGACCTATAGCAGGACTTCGACAGGCATTTTGACACTGGGGGGAACTGACTTGGTGTCACTGACATCCCCAGGGACACCTATACAGTGATCAGTGCTAAAAAGAGCACTGACACTGTACTAATGGCACTAGGCAGGAATGGATTAACATAAGGGGCGATCAAAGGGTTAACTGTGTGCTGGGAGTGTTTTACTATGGGGCCGTGTGTTGGTGCTTCACTGTAATTACACTGCTTTGCATGGCTGTGCTGTGCACAGTCATCCAAAGCAGTATGCGCAAGCTGACAGGGAGGAAAACTGTTTTGTTTATGAACAGTTCTCCTCCCCGTTGAAGATGCTTGGCAATCACCGGGCGCTAGCAAGCAATCACTGGCTGGGACCCGGTGATTGACAGCCGCGGCCGTGAATATACGTGATTTTGCACCCCCCTTCCACCCTGTAGCAGTATATCTGCTATAGGGCGGTCAGAAAGTGGTTAGATTGATTCTAAACAATATCCTTATTCTCCAAAAATAATCCATACACATCCACTATCTAATGACCTTGTAATCTATCTTATAGCATGTGCTGTGTTTTACTGCCTCTTTGTAATGTCCCGTAAGCGTTTCCCCACTTACTTGTATTGCTGGAACAAGCAGTGCATATTAGTTGCAGTCACGTGCACTGCTCTATGCACAATACAAACCCCACAATCTACAGTCCTTAGGCCATCTCAAGAATGAGAAAGAGAAAGTGGCTATGCTCTTACTTACAGTGGGACTGTGGAGAACAAATGTAGCCACCCTCTAATAGGAGGTTGGATCACAACAGCAAAAAAAAAAAGAATTTGAGGAGTTGGAAGAGCCTGAGAGCAAAAGAAGAGACTTTTTCTGAGTTAAGAATACATACTTGAGTACAATTTTCTTTTTTTTAAACCAGAGACCAGTCTGTGTCAGCTCTTGAGACCCAATAATTCTGGTGCCCCTACAGTTATGTTATCACCCCTGCTCAGCTTCCTCTCTCCTATATGGCCAGAAAGTTACAATATTACAACAGTATTGGTGTATAAAAGGTTGTAGGCAGGTATATGTGGACAAATCGTATCTCAGTCCCTAAATAAAATATAAACAGAAAAAAGAGAAATGTTCACTTCTTCAGGAGACATGAAAAATCATAAATGCGGTGTCTACAGAGAGACCAGGTGAAAAAAATAATGAAAAGAAAAAAAAAGTGCTGTGAAATGCACAAAATGACATTCAACCAGTTAGACCCATATCCAAAAAACAAAAACTAAAAACTGTCCTATATAGATAGTTACATATCACCAATATTAATGGTAAAAACACAAACAAAAGAACAATGCTGTCCCAGATCATGGAATTTTACAGGAAAGCCCCACCCAGCAATATTAGTCCAAACTGGGAGCTGTGTGGAGGACCAGACTGCCCATGTGGGGCATATAACGACAGCCAAGGATGGTGAAACTTGGCGAAACAACCTCTGGGGACAAAACTGAAAAGAGAAAAACAGATGAAAAGGTGAAAATACATAGTGGGAAAAAGAGGTGTGTAATGAAAGAGACCACTCAAGACTAGAAATCCCGGA